TGAGATCATGACCTGAGCTGAAGATGGAGGCTTAACCAACTGAGCCACCCACGTGCCCCCATCTTCTTTGATTTCGGATTTTGTTTGAGTCCTCTCTCTAGAGGAGTATCAATTATATTGATCTTTTCAAAGAATCAGCTCCTGCTTTCATTGATCTGTTCTATTGTTTTGTTTTGTTTTTAGTTACTGTATCATTCATTTCTGCTCTAATCTTTATTGTTTCTTTCTTTCTGCTGGTTTTGGGTTTTGTGTAGTCTCCTTTCTCTAGTTCCTTCAGGTATAAGTTTGTGTTAGGTTGTTTATTTGAGATTTTTCTTGCTTCTTGATGTAGGCCTGTATTGCTCTAAACTTTCCTCTTAGGACAGATTTTGCTGCATCCCAAAGATTTTAGACTGTTTGTGTTTTCATTTCATTTTGCTCCATGTAATTATTTTTTAAATTTTATTGTATTTTTGAGAAAGAGAGAGACACACACACAGAGCATGAGTGAGGGAGTAGCAGGGGGACAGAGAGGGAGACACAGAATCTAAAACAGGCTCTAGGCTCCCAGCTGTCAGCACGGAGCCTGACACAGAGCTTGAACTCACGAACCACGAGATCGTGACCTGAGCCAAAGTAGGCACTTAACCAACTAAGCCACCTAGGCACCCCCTCTGCATGTAATTTTTAATTTCCTTTTTTGCTGTTGACCCCTTCATTGTTTAGTAGTATGTTATTTAACCTCCATGTATATGTGGTTTTTCCATATTTTTCTTTGATTGATTTCTAGTTTCATTACATTCTGGTCAGAAATACATAGTATGACTTTGATCATTTGGAATTTGCTGAGACTTGTGTTATTGTCTAATATGTGATCTATTCTGGAGAAGACTCTATGTGCATTTGTCAAGAATGTGTATTCTGTTGTTTTAGGATGGAATGTTCTCATATATCTGTTAAATCCATATGGCCCAGTGTGCCATTCAGAGCCACTGTTTCCTAGTTGATTTTCTGTTTAGATGATCTATTAAGGTAAGTGGGGGGGGGGGGGTCTTAAAATCCCCTACAATTATTGTATTGCTATCGATTAGTTCTGCTTGTTAACTGTTTTATTTATTTATTTATTTAGCATTATTAATATTTATTAAGTTGTATTTTTTTTTTTTGAGAGAGAGAGAGAGAGAGAACATGAGTGGGAGAGGAGCAGAAAAAGAGGGAGAGAGAATCTCAAGCAAGTTCCACACCCAGTGTGGAGCCTGACACGGGACTTCGTCTCATGATCTGAGTGGAAATCAAGAGTCAGATTCTTAACTGAGTCCCCCAGGAGTCCTGATTATTAGCCATTTTATGTCTTTGGGTGCTCCCCTTTTGTATGCAAAACTATTTACAATTGTTATGTCTTCCTGTTGGATTGTCCCTTTAACAATCACATAGTGTCCTTCTTTGTTTCTTGTTAAAGCCTCTGTTTTAAAGTCTATTTTGTCTGATATAAATATTGCTACCTTGGCTTTCTTCCATGATACACTACCATGGTAAATATTCCCCCATCCTCTCACTTTCAATCTGCATGTTGTCTTTAGGTCTGAAATGAGTGTCTCGTAGGCAGCATATAGATGGGTCCTTTTTTTTTTTTTAATCTATTCTATCACTCTATGTCTCTTGATTGGAATGTTTGGCCCATTTACATTCAACGTAATTCTTTTTTTTTTTTTAATTTTTAAATGCTTATTTATTTTTGATAGACAGGGTGCGAGCAGGGGAGTGGCACAGACAGAGGGAGACATAGAATCCAAAGCAGGCTCCAGGCTCTGAGCTGTCAGCACAGAGCCCAATGCGGGGTTCAAACTCATGAACCAGGAGATGATGACCTAAGCTGAAGTCGGATGCTTAACAAACTGAGCCACCCAGGTGCCCCATTAATTCTTGATACGTATATATTTATTGCCGTTTTGTTACTTGTTTTGTGATTATTTTTGTAGCTCTCTGATTCTTTATCCTTTTGCTCTCTTCTCACACAGTTTGCTCATTTTCTTTAGTGGTATACTCAGATTCCTTTCTCTTTATTTTTTGCTTATCTATTACTGGTTTTTTATTTGTGCTTATCATTAGGCTTGTATATAACATCTTCTGTATATGGCAGTCTATGTTAAGTTGATGGTCACTTAAGTTTGAACCCATTCATTACTCCTTTCCTCCCCACGTTTTAGGTATATAGTGTCATACTTTATATCTTTATTTTGTGACTCCCTTGGCTGCATTTTACAGATATACTTCTTTTTACTGTCTGTGCTTCCTATTTTCTAACTGTTACTTATGGCCTTTCCTTTCTATTCAAAGACTCTGCTTTAACATTTCCTGTAGGGTAGGCTTAGTGATCATGAACTCCTTTAGCCTTTGTTTGTGTGGGAAACTCTTTATCTCTCCTTATATACTGCATAATATCCTTGCCGGATAGAGTATTCTTGGCTGCCGATTTTTTTCTTTCAGCACTTTGACTATATCATGCCACTCCTTTCTGGTCTGCAAAGTTTCTGATGAAAAATCCTCTGATGGCCTCATAGGCTTCCCCTTTTTCTGCTCCTAAAATTCTTTTTCACTACTCTTTGCCGTTTTAATTACTATGTATGTATATATGTATCTTGGTGTGGACCACCTTGGGTTGGTTTTGATGGGGTCTCTGCCTCCTGCAACAGATCTGTTGCCTCCTGCAACAGATATCAATCTGTTTCCTTCCCCAGATTAGGGAAGTTTTCAGCTGTTATTTTTACAAATAAATTTTCTGTAAAACCTTCTCTCTCTTCTTCTTCTGGGATCCCTACAATGGAAATGTTATTACACTTGATGGAGTTGCTGAGTTCCCTAAGTCTATTCTCATTTTGCGTGTTTTCCTTCCTCTCTCACCTGCTTAACTCAACCGCTCTGCATTATTCTGTCCTCCAGGTCTCTAATTAGTTCTTCTGCTTCCTCCAGGCTGCTATTTATTCCATCGAGTTTATTTTTAGTTTCATTTATTATGCTCTTCATCTCTGATATGTTATTTTTAAACTCTTTAAGGGGCTCACTGATACCCTCCACATTTTTCTCAAGTCCTGTGGGTGAAGTTATGATTATTACTTAAATTCTCTCTAAGGCATATTACTTACATCCATTTTGCTTAGATCTCTTGTTGTAGTTTTGTCCTGTTCTTTCATTTTGGACATATTCCTGTCTCCTCACTTTGTCTAATTCTCTCTGTCTGTTTCTGTGTGTTCGGGAAGCCAGCTACATCTCCTTCTCTTGAACCTGGTGCTTCAGGGGTATCTCCTATGTGTGCTGTGTGGGCTTTGCTGTTGAGTCTTGACTGCTTTTCTTTCAGTCCAGTCATCTGCAGTGGTTTTTCTTTCCATGTTTGGGGCAGTGTTTTGTCTCTGTGGTGTTAGTGGACCAGTCTGGGGCCACCTTGGGTTCGAGCTGAGTCTGACCAGGCATTTGCCAGAGATGCAGTAGCAGCAAATTGCAGGGCACTTTCCCTGTAGTGTCCCCTAAGAAGTTTTCTTTTTTTTTTTTTTTAATTTTTTTTTTCAACGTTTATTTATTTTTGGAACAGAGAGAGACAGAGCATGAACGGGGGAGGGGCAGAGAGAGAGGGAGACACAGAATCAGAAACAGGCTCCAGTCTCCGAGCCATCAGCCCAGAGCCTGACGCGGGGCTCGAACTCACGGACCGCAAGATTGTGACCTGGCTGAAGTCGGACGCTTAACCGACTGCGCCACCCAGGCGCCCCCCCAAGAAGTTTTCTTTGGTGAGTGGGGCCTACAATCTAACCCGCAGTGTGCCCCCAGCCCACTGCTGGGGCAGCCCTCTAACTGGCATGTGTGTTTATCTTCCTCTCATCCCAGGGCAGGAGTCACTTTGGAGTGATGCTGGCCCCTATTGGGGCTGCTTGCACACTGCCAGCCTCGGGGCCCCAATTTGAATGGGCTATGCCCAAGAGTTTTTTGGAACAGGCATGCCACTGCCACAGACATGGGACTGGCCAGGGTAGGATCCACAGTTTTAGTAAGGCGCATGCTGGTCTGCTTGCAAAATGAGACCTGCCACCACCACCACCTTTACAAAGCTAGATCTGCAAAGCACGTATGGGCAGGGCACACAGTTTCAATAAGGTGCCTGCCAGCCCTCTGTGGGACCCACTGCCACCACTCTGACTGCCAAAACTGGCCCGGGACCCTGCAAAACCTGTGGGGCGGAGGACTGGGCATTGGCAAGGTTTGCACTGGTCTTCTGGGGGGAGGGGACCTGCAGTGCCAAGACTGAGGCAAGCGTAATTGGAAAGGGCAGATCTTCTGAAGCAGCATGGGAAGATGGGGGGGGGGGGGGGGGGGGGGTGTATTAGCAAGTTAGGTAGTGAATCAGCACGGCATTGGTTCCTGCAGGTGGTTGCTGTTTATGTTGAGGGGCGGGGGAGGGAAATGGCACCTGCCAGTTCCTTTGTTTCTGGAGAAGTCCAATAGGGGAACACTTGTAAAGCTAATACTGTCCCTAACTAGCTATGTGACTTTACAACAACCACTTCCTTCAGCTCACTGGACTTCAATCTCCTTTTTCTGTAAAATGGAAAAGCACAATCAATGAGATGTTCTCGAAATAGTTTCCGTGCTGACATCCCACGTATATGACATTTCATACTACACAATATGCCCTCGCGGAAGAGGGAGGCCCTGTGGTCTGTTCTCTTTTCATAAAGGCACAGAGGTTAACCTTCATCTAAGTGACTCAGTGAGTGTATGGTAGATAAGAAACAGGTGATACGTATCTCTTCGGCCGATTATTACTCTGCAGAGCCTGAAAGAATCTGTGTGTGATTATAAGGTCTTGCCCCCCTCCCTTTTTTTTGCACTGTACTTACACAGGAATTATAAATAAATGAACAAAAGGGATCCGAGAAGTGCAACCCTTCGAAAATTGTTCAGACGGAGACCGCCCAAATGAAAAACACATGCTATTTCCCCTCTGCCTGAGCAATTTGGCATTCCGCGTACAAGTTCCCAGGAGAGGGGCTGGGCCTCTCCAGGCAGGAACTGGAGCCAGAGGCTTCCCCTGCTACTCGCTGGGATAGAAGAACATCAGGAATGACTTTCAGTGCAGTAGTTCCTGTGGTGCTCGCAGAAGCCACGCGGCTTGGGTGCAATCAAACTGCGGCCCAGCCTCATCCCGGCAGGAATCCAGATGCAGGCCAAGTACAGCAGCACAAGGGACATGCTGGATGACGATGGGGACACCGTCGTGAGTGTGCATTCTCGAGCCTCGTCTCCAAGCCAGCAGCCAGAGGCTGGACGCAAAGGTATTCTGCCTCCCGGAGTGCAAATTGGCAAGACCCTTGGGCGATGCATGGGATGAGCTCTCTCTCTGGGGAATGCGCCACATGAGGGAAAGAGAAAGCGTTTCCATGATTGATAATTACCTGTCACTGTGCACTTTCCACAACCTGCGTGCCTCGTATATGAACGTCTGAAAAACTAAGCTCAGTACGAACAAAGATGTTTATGTTTCTAAGATTCTATCGTGAGCACAGTGGTTTGCAGTTAAGGGTGTATTGTGTTTACCAAGTAGGTATAAGTATACAAAGGTGAGATTGTATGTAGAATTAAAGTAGCACTCCTTCTCTTTCCCGGCTTCCCATGAAGGCCAAATCCAATGCTGTTCTATTTACCATCTGCGATCCGATCTGGGAATTCGCTGGTTTGGGACTCGTGGCTTTAGAAGGAGTTTTCCCAGCAGACACAGCAACCTGGGTATTTTGTCATAATTCTGCATCTTGAAGTTGTGAGGCCTCTGGAGAGTCATGTCAACATCAGGTGTTCGTTTTTATCATCTGTGAGATGAGGTGGGATTAAAGTAAATGCTTTCTAAGGTCCCCTTAGCTTAATTCGGTGATTCGATGATCTAAATAGCGGCCTCAGATACAATAACATCCCATTCCGTTCCCTTTTGTTCTACTTACTACCAGAATATTACTGAGATGGCTGAAGTGAATTATAAAAATATTTAATCTTAGTTACATTTCTACCTTAGTTAAGTTTCTACCGTATGCTTCTATTTCCAATAACTCACTTTCTGACATAGCAATAAAAATATTTTTTTTCAGTCCATAGAATTCATATACAGAGAGAAGGATTTTCTATCCTGGGCAACTCAGTCAATGTAAGGCGAAATGTGACTTGAGTTCTAGTGGAAAGACCTCACAGCGTAACACAGAAACAGGTTCTTTTTTTGTTTTTTGTTTTAATATTTATTTATAGGAGACAGAGGGACAGAGTGCAAGCAGGGGAAAGGCAGAGAGAGAGAGAGAGAGAGAGAGAGAGAGAGAGATACAGAATCTGAAGCAGACTCCAGGCTCCGAGCTGTCAACACAGAGCCCGATGTGGGGCTCAAACCCACAAAGCGGCAGAATCATGACCTGGGCCGAAGTGGGACGCTTAACTGACGGAGCCACCCGGGTGCCCCAGAGCCAGGTTCCAATATCAGCTGTGCTGCTTACAGACTGGGGTATTGGACAAGTTACTTAAGTATTCTGGGGCTTCAATTCCTTCATTTATAAAATGTTAGCGACAGTAAACACGTATACAGTGAGCGTTGTGTGCCTCAAAATATTTTAAGCACTTGTGTATATGAAACTTCTATTTTATAGAGTGGCTGGGGTTTAAGGTTGAGAAGTTATGTAAAGTCCTTGGCATACCACAGACATACCTGTGTGTTTCTTTTCAGTATGCCATTCCTTGAGAATTCCTAAGTGTTCTGTTTAACATTTTTGTGTTAGTCTGCATCAGAGAGATTCTTTTTTTTTTTTTTTTTTTTTTTTGAAGAAAGAGAAAAACAGAGCATGAACGGGGAGGGTCAGAGAGAGAGGGAGGCACAGAATCTGAAACAGGCTTCAGGCTCTGAGCTGTCAGCACAGAGCCCCACGCGGGGCTCGAACTCATGGACGGCGAGATCATGACCTGAGCCGAAGTCGGAAGCTTAACCGACTGAGCCATCCAGGCGGCCCTGCATCAGAGAGATTCTTTTTTATTATTATTATTTTTTTTTAATTTTTTTTTTCAACGTTTATTTATTTTTGGGACAGAGAGAGACAGAGCATGAACGGGCGAGGGGCAGAGAGAGAGGGAGACACAGAATCGGAAACAGGCTCCAGGCTCCGAGCCATCAGCCCAGAGCCCGACGCGGGGCTCGAACTCACGGTCCGTGAGATCGTGACCTGGTTGAAGTCGGACGCTTAACCGACTGCGCCACCCAGGCGCCCCAGAGAGATTCTTAATCAGTGACGGGATCGTAGTATGTCCTTCTCGTTTGGCCACACTCAGGTTTTCTTCACTTCTATAAATCTGGACACATACTTTTTCACCGTTCCCTTCCACTTCTCCTTTATCAAATAACTTTGAGGTTTTCTTCCTTTCCTCTATTAAACCTTTCCACTCAGTTTCTGTTCATTGAATGATCACCACCTGAGACTCACTAATGTGACTGTATCTTATTGTTTTCTTTCTACTACACTATCTACTAACTTGTAAGAAGATACTGGGGACTTCTAGCCTCCTTGATGTGAAGCAAAGCGACAACTTTGGGATGTCAGTTTCTGTAGCCACCGATTATGAGCCGCACGATCCGATATGTTTTCCTCCAACAAATCCTGTGAAGAATCAGCTTTCACGGCTGTGGTTTGAAGTGGCTTGTGTATAACTTCAGTTTTGATCTTTAACTAGAGCCAGGAACTCACAAAGATTAGTGATCAGCATAATCAGGAACAGGGTGTACAAATAAGTTCTGCCGAGCTAGGGGGTGGAGAGGTAGGTGGGGCAGGATAAAACACTTAGTGAAACATCTGGCAACCTTTCCCTTAGCAGGGGAAACTGAAACAGTAGGAGTAAAGGTTACAAAGAAGTGTCTTGAAGGCAAACCTCTGAAAATAGTTATCTTGCCCTTCGTGTATGATACTTCGTTTTTACCTTGTGCTGATGCAAATATTTAAAGGGATGTCACTGTTGAAGTTTAATTATTTCTTAGGAAAATGATCTGATGTAATTTTACTCTTAAAAATAACAGAGCAAAGGAAGGGCATGTGGGTGGCTCAGTTGGTTAAACATCCGACTTCGGCTCAGGTCATGATCTCGCGGCTTGTGACTTCGAACCTGCGTTGGGCTCTGTGCTGACAGCTCAGAGCCTGGAGCCTGCTTTGGATTCTGTGACTCCCTCTCTCTGCCCCTCCCCAGCTCATGCTCTGTTTCTCTTTCTCTCAAAAATAAACAAACATTAAAAAAAGGAGAAGGAGGAGGAGGCGAAGGAGGAGGAGGAGGAGGGGAAAAATACCAGAGCAAAACTCACTCCGGGAATATTTTGGCAATGCAGAAGATTTAAATTCTTATGACTGGAAAATTAATTTTTTTTCTCTAAAATCAATAAAAATAAATTATGTCCACTTGTTTATTTCCTCGATTTTCATTTTTTCAGTATAAAAGCTATGTTCATCTTCAAAAATGCTAAACAATTCAGAAGATAAAAAGTAAAAGTGAAAGACAATGTCCTCATACCTTCTTTCTAAAAACTTATGTTCAAGGTTACATCATGCCAGGCATATTGCAAGGTATGCCAAATACGATATTGCAAAGTAATAGCAAATATAATATGATCCCTGTTTATGAGGAAACTTAACGTTTTGTGTCTTCTTCAATTTCTATCATAAGCTTTCTATAGTTTTCAGTATACAGATCTTTTACCTCTTTGGTTAGGTTTATTCCTAGGTATTTTATGGTCTTTGATGCAATTGTGAAGGATGCAATAATGCTGACTTGAAGGAGAACATGCACCTCAATATTTATAGCAACTCTATCAACCACTATCAACCAATTTGTTGATATCGGCTATCGACCAAAAGCCAAATTATGAAAAGATCCCAAATGTCCATCAACTGTTGAATGGATAAAGAAGCTGTGGTTTATATACAGAATGGAATACTACTTGGCAACAAAAAAGAATGAAGTCTTGCCATTTGCAACGACATGGATGGAACTGAAGGGTATTACATTAGGCAAAATAAATCACTCAGAGAAAGACACAGGTATTTCACTCGTATGTGGAATGTGAGAAAGCCAACAGACAAACATAGGGGAAGGGGAGGACAAATAAGATAAAAAGAGAGAGGGAGGCACACCATGAGACACTCTTTAAACACAGAGAACAAACTGAGGAGTGCTGGAGGAGAGACAGGTGGGAGGATGGGCTAAATGGGTGATGGGCATTAAGGAGGGCACTTGTTGGGATGAGCACTGGGTGTCATATATGAGAGATGAATCACTGGGTTCAGTTTCTGAAGCCAAGACTGAGCTGTATGTTAACTAACTTGAGGAAAGAAAGAAGGAAAGAAAGAAGAAAGAAAGAAGGAAGGAAGGAAGGAAGGAAGGAAGGAAGGAAGGAAGGAAGGAAGTTCCACATCATATGAAAACAAAGCTGGGAGGGTTTAAGGGGTTAGGGGCATGATAGGCAGACAGACACATGACAGAAAAGCCACGGAGGGCATAAGTAACTTTGTGTTTTCAGAGATCTGTAAGCACTGCGTTCTGGCTGACGGGTAGAGTTGGAGAGAGGGGAAGCTGACAAGAGCTAGTATGGAAAGGTTAAAAGGGCCTATTATGTCATATTGAGGTATTGTCATTCCAATTCAGTACAATAAGCTCACAGAAGGATTTAAACAGGGACTAACGTAATCAGTTTTGTGTTTTTAGAAAACCATCTAGGCTGCAAGGAGGTAGATGCATTGCAGGAGTACGAAACTGCACGAGCTAATACCTAGGTAGTTAGCATTAGCTAAGTGTGAGATTGGAAGAACCTAAACTGAAGTAGTGTGAGAATGAGAAGGGGGAATCAGACGCTGAGGAGATAGAGTTTAAAGAGTTGGTGACTGGTTACAAGTGGAAAGACAAGGAAAGAAAGAGCACAGGTTGATTAGGTTCCACCAATGTTCTGTAGATGGTGTTGCCAACAATTGGGGTAGAAACTCCGGGCAGTTGGAGTTGCCCAGACACTTGGATGTGTTGCAAGTGGGTTGCAAGTAAGGATTTTGAGCTACATATGTATGTGAGAATTGTTGACATCTTGGTTAGAATTAAACTTTCTGAGGATGAGCAAGGTCACTGAGAAGGAGAATGGAAAATGAAAAGACAAAAAAACCCGAAGGAATAGAATTCCGAGGAGAGAATCAGGGGCAGGATGGATGAGACGTTCCAATAAAAGCTACTGATAATGAATGGTAAACAGTGGCAGAGGTGGACCAGGAGAGAGAGAGACATT